CTCAGTCCTAGAGTCAGAGACACAGGGTCTCAGGGCTGCAGTGAAGGGACCGGCTCCTGGGCAGGGAGCTGCCCTCTGTGCTCGGTGAGTCTGTGCCTGTGCTCACCCCCCTCTGCAGCTCTACTGCCCACAGTCACGGAGGTTCCCACAAATGTCAGAAAACATCTCCACTGAGTTAAAGAGGCTCTGGTGTGTCACACGGTGGACACTCTGGAGTGTGTGAGGTGCAACCAGGCAGGTCACAGCACCTCACACGTGCAAGCTGAGGCCCTGGCAGCAGAGGCCTGTGCCCCTGGCACTGAGGAGGGTTCTGTTCCTCAGTTTTTCCTGTAGGTGGCAGCCCTGAGGTCCAGGTGTCCTTGCAGAGACTCAGCTGAGTACAAGGAAGAAGCAGGACTGGGGCTGCCACCATTTCAAAATGCCAGGAAGGACTTCCCTGTGGCAGACACCCCTGCCTTGTCTCAGGAAGCTGGTGCAGACCCAGCGTCGTCAGCCTGTGCCGCTCAGAACAACCACCAGGAGGCACTGTCGTCTCCACAGTCCTGTCCCAGGACGTGTCCTGAGTGGGTTTATGTGCAACCTGCCTGGAGAACCTTAAATATCCCACTTCCATCCTGGTCTATGTGTCTACCTGTAGATCCCGGGTCTGGGCTCTAGTCCCAGAGTTGCAGGGTCAGGTCTGTGTTGGGTTTTATGAGCCTAGGGGGCAATATTTGCATGTCATCCTACTATATAGGGAGCTCTGGGGTTGGAGACCTGAGAGAGGGCAGTGCCTCAGAGCAGGTGTGAGTGTCCTGGGGGAGAATCGTGGTCATGATAACATTTTAATAAGTAAATCCAGAATTCTGGGGACGTTTGGGACATGTCCAAGAAGGAAAGATGGAGGCAGCTGGAGGAGACACTGTGTCAGGACACCGTCAGCCCTGGTCCTGGGCCCTGTGCATCCACAGGAGCCTGGGTGTGTCTGCCTCAGTGTGTGGAGCCGTCCACCCTCAGGGCCCTGTGGACAATGAGGGAACATTCAGTCCCCATGGAGTGGAGCTTTCCCCTGGGAATGGGGAGAGGGAGACAGAGCCCAGCAAACCCCTGTGGTCCTAGGGGGCTGTGTGAACACCCAGGACACACCCCTGTGTGATCTCTGAGACTGGATCCTTCACTCTGAGTCATCACTGAGATCCTCCTGTGCTGAGGTGTGGATCAGTTGATGGTTATTTTTATTGCTGAGTAGTATTCTATTGATAGATGTTCCCTAGTTTGCTTATTTGTAAAACTAGAATGATTTTTTGGTTGTTTGTAGCTTTTAGCACAATGATGCTGTGAATATTTGGATATATTTTGTGTTAAAATAAGGGTTCCTTGTTTTGGACCAAAAACTCCAAGTGGGAACCCTGAGATACATGTTAAGTGTATTTTTAATTAAATAAGGAACTGTGATTCACTATGTGAAGAAAGAATAACAGGACACAGAGGGACCTGGAGAAGGAGAGAAGCCCAGTCACTGCCGACATGTCATCTGCACACACAGTGTCACCTCCTCACTTGTCTGCAGTGAGAATATGAGAAGTTAGAGCCACAGAGAAAAAGCGAGAACCATCCTGGATGCAGCTGAGAGAAACCCCTGCTCCCAACAGGAAGCCCCTCCTTCCCCCTCACTCTGCACCTGCTCCTGGGCTGCTCTTTGTGGTCTGTGGGTCCTGAGCGCCCCCTGGTGTCCTGAGCGCGCCCTGCAGCCCCGCCCTCCTGTCCCCTCAGGAGGTTTGTGTCTGGGCTCACACTGACTTCCCCTCACTGTGTCTCGCACAGTAATACACGGCCGTGTCCTCAGATTTCAGGTTGGTCATTTTAAGAGAGACTGTGCTCGTAGGGTTGTCCCTGGAGATTGTGAATCTTCCTTGAACGGATGGCGCGTACCACTGTTCTTTCCCCGTTGGTTGGCTCACTCCGGCCACCCTTTCCAGCCTCGTCCCTGGAGCCTGGCGGACCCAGTCCATGCTGTAGTCAGTGAAGGTGAATCCAGAGGCTTTGCAGGAGAGGCTCAGGGACCCCGCGGGCTGCACCAAGCCTCCCCCAGACTCCACCAACTGGACTTGGCACAGGACACCTGCAAACAGAGAAACAGACTGAGAACTGTCCCTGCAGCGCGGTCCCCGCTGAGCCCGAACCCAGGGACACACCTTTGACAGCGATGAGCAGGGAGGCCCAGAGGAGTGCGGACCCCATGGTGTGGACACAGGACGGGCTGACCCAGAGGCTCCTCTCCGGGATCTGCAGGGACAGGGGCTGGGCAGGTTTTCATGAGCAGGGCCGGGTCCTCATTTGCATGTCTTTCCCCTGTGGACCTGTCTGAGCTGCCCACCCGGGCTCCTCCCTCCCTGCCTTGCATTTGCGAAGGGCGGGGGGACAGGATATCTGGGCCTGGACCCAAAGGCACTCTGCTGGTCTGAACATGCTAGTGTTTGTCTGTATAACAGAGGACGTGTGACAGTTTCCTGACCAGGACGTCTTTGTGTTTGCAGGTGTCCAGTGTGAGGTGCAGCTGGTGGAGTCTGGGGGAGCCCTGGTGCAGCCTGGGGGGGTCTCTGAGACTCTCCTGTGCAGCCTCTGGATTCACCTGCAATAGCTGGTAGATAAACTTGGTCCTTCAGGTTCCATGGAAGGGGCCGGTGTGGATAAATCAAATTTATAGTCATGGAAGTAACACATACTATACAGACTCTGTGAAGGGCAGATTCACCATCTCCAGAGACAACACCAAGAACATGTTGTATCTGCAAATGAGCAGCCTGAGAGTCAAGACAACAGCCATGTGTTACTGTGTGAGAGACACCGTGAGGGAAGTCACTGTAAACCCAGAAACAAATCTCCATGTGGGAGGGGCATAGATCACTAAAAAGTGTGAAAAACAAGAACCACCCCAGGAGCAGAAGCCTGAATTCTAACACGTGACGACTTACACAGTAAAGAATATCCACGAGGGTCGAACCAGAGATGCAGATGCAGGTGGAGAGGGTGGTTCCTGCAGGGCCTGATGGGCAGAGCTGTGGGGACTGAGCAGAGAGTTGGTCTCATGTGGGGTGTGGGAACTGAGATCCATGGGGCAGGGGGGAATGAAGATAACCATCAGGATGGAGCCAGTCCTGAAACCAGGTGTCCCGGGGAAGCCAGGTGTCCCTCACAGCTGGCCTCACATCCCTGCCCACTGCTGCCCCTGCTCCTCTGTAGTTCATGCTTCTGCTTCCCGTGACCCACACAGACACCCACTGTCCCCCAACACTGGTCCACTGGCTCAAGGGTCACACTCTGTTCTCAGTTTATCCTCTGAACCCTGTGTAGGGGAAACAGTGTCAGAGGGAACTTCCGTCTCCTAAACATGAACATCCTTTTAATTCTTTCTCTGGTCGTGAGGGTTGCTTCACCTTTGTGAGTTCATTACTGGTGACGCTCAAAGGCATCAAATTTATATCTTCACCTGTCTTTTCTTATGTGACCACTTGTGATTTCCCCACAGGGTCTACCCACTGTCACTGTCACAAGATCTAGTTCCCTCTTCAGTTGTGAATATCGACAATGTCACAGCTCATTCTCCCCAGTAGACCTACATCCTGCTTTCCTGGGGATGAGCACACCTGAGCCACCTTCCCAACCACATAAACATATGCACACCTCGTGCATTTTCTTCTACGTGAACAAGAAAATGAAACTTTCTCCATCCAGGCTCACCTTTCCGTCTGGCCAGGACTGACCTGTGCACACATGGACAAACCCAGGCCAGGGTCCCATGATGAGAACGGACTCACCTGGCTCTGGATGTCAGTTCCTGTCTCTCAGCTCTGCTGCCCGGGAACAGCTCAGCCCACGTTTTCAGGTTCTCAGCAAAGGGCCCAGATTTTTTTGTTGTTGGGCTGCATCTTCCAGCTTCTGGTGGATCTTCCACAACCTACATCCAGGGAGGTAGAGTTTATAACTCATTATATCCAAGACATACTGTGGAACACCAGGGTGTACTACTTAGCATTCAAGTCTTTGTTGATGAAAAATATAGGAAATTACTTTTCAGGGTCTAGAACAAATAGATCAAAATCAATGCAGAGGTGAGGATGGAGCTGTGCTGTCCTCTCCACTACGACCTTCTCCTGTGGTCTCGGGCTCAGTCCTAGAGTCAGAGACACAGGGTCTCAGGGCTGCAGTGAAGGGACCGGCTCCTGGGCAGGGAGCTGCCCTCTGTGCTCGGTGAGTCTGTGCCTGTGCTCACCCCCCTCTGCAGCTCTGCTGCCGACAGTCATGAAAGTTCCCACAAATGACAGAAAATATCTCTACCAAGTTAAAAGAGGCTCTCGTGTGTCACACAGTGGACACTCTGGAGTGAGTGAGTGTGCAGTCAGGCAGGTCACAGCACCTCCCACGTGCAAGCTGAGGCCCTGGCACCAGAGGTCTGTGCCCCTGGCACTGAGGAGGGTTCTGTTCCTCAGGTTTTCCCCAAGGTGGCAGCCCTGAGGTCCAGGTGTCCTTGCAGAGACTCAGCTGTGTACAAGAAAGAAGCAGGACTGGGGCTGCCACCATTTCAAAATGCCAGGAAGGACTCCCCTGTGGCAGACACCCCTGCCTAGTCTCAGGAAGCTGGTGCAGACCCAGTGTCGTCAGCCTGTGTAGCTCAGAACAACCACCAGGGGGCACTGTCGTCTCCACAATCCTGTCCCTGGACACGTCCTGAGTGGGTTTAGATGCAACCTGCCTGAAGAACCTTAAATATCCCACTTCCATCCTGGTCTAGGTGTCTGTCACTGTTCACAGACAAATACTAGAATGTTCAGACCAGCAGAGGGCCCCTGGGTCCAGGCCCAGGCATCCTGTCCCCCACCCTCCCCAAATGCAAGGCAGGGAGGGAGGAGCCCTGGTGGGAAGCTCAGACAGGGCCACAGGGGAAAGGAATTCAAATGAGGACCCGGCCCTGCTCATGAAAACCTGCCCAGTCCCTGTCCCTGCAGATCCAAGAGAGGAACCTCGGGGGTCAGCCCGTCCTGTGTCCACACCATGGGGTCCGCACTCCTCTGGGCCTCCCTTCTCATCGCTGTCAAAGGTGCGTCCCCAGGCTCGGGCTCAGCGGGGACCGCGCTGCAGGGACAGTTCTCAGTCTGTTCCTCTGTTTGCAGGTGTCCTGTGCCAAGTCCAGCTGGTGGAGTCTGGGGGAGGCTTGGTGCAGCCCGCGGGGTCCCTGAGCCTCTCCTGCAAAGCCTCTGGATTCACCTTCACTGACTACAGCATGGACTGGGTCCGCCAGGCTCCAGGGAAGGGGCTGGAGTGGGTGGCACAAGTGAGCCAACCATCTGGAGATAAACAGTGGTACGCGCCATCCGTTCAAGGAAGATTCACAATCTCCAGGGACAACCCTACGAGCACAGTCTCTCTTAAAATGACCAACCTGAAATCTGAGGACACGGCCGTGTATTACTGTGTGAGACACAGTGAGGGGAAGTCAGTGTGAGCCCAGACACACACCTCCTGAGGGGACTGGCGGGCGCAGCTGCAGGGCGCGCTCAGGACACCAGGGGGCGCTCAGGAAACACAGAGAACAGCCCAGGAGCAGGTGCAGAGTGAGGGGGAAGGAGGGGCTTCCTGTTGGGAGCAGGGGTTTCCTCTCAGCTGCATCCAGGATGATTCTCACTTTTTCTCTGTGGCTCTAACTTCTCATATTCTCACTGCGGACAAGTGAGGAGGTGACACTGTGTGTGCAGATGACATGTCGGCAGTGACTGGGCTCCTGTCCTTCTCCAGGTCCCTCTGTGTCCTGTTATTCTTTCTTCACATAGTGAATCACAGTTCCTTATTAAATAAAATATATACTGAACATGTATCTCAGGGTTCCCACCTGGAGTGTTTGGTCTAAAACAAGAAATCCTTATTTTAACACAAAAATATATCCAAATATTTATAGCATCATTGTGCTAAAAGCTACAAACAACCCAAAAATCATTCTAGTTTTACAAATAAGCAAACTAGGGAACATCCGTTAATGGAATACTACTCAGCAATGAAAATAACACTCAACTGAATCACACCTCAACACAGGAGGATCTCAGTGATGACTCAGAGTGGAGGATCCAGTCTCAGAGATCACACAGGGGCATGTCCTGGGTGTTCACACAGCCCCCTAGGACCACAGGGGTTTGCTGGGCTCTGTCTCCTTCTCCCCATTCCCAGGGGAAAGCTACACTCCATGGGGACTGAATGTCCCCTCATTGTCCACAGGGCCCTGAGGGTGGATGGCTCCACACACTGAGGCAGACACACCCAGGCTCCTGTGGATGCACAGGGTCCAGGACCAGGGCTGACTGTGTCCTGACACAGTGTCTCCTCCAGCTGCCTCCGTCTTTGTTCTCCGTCAGCGCAGGACTCCAGGGCGGCCGACCCTCCACTATCATCTCCTGCCAGAGCCTTCACCACACCCAGGCCTGGGCCCCTCCACACTCTGCTGGAAGGAAACCTAATTCAGTCCCCAGTGTAGGTGGAATCAGACACTATCTGCCTTTCCCTGACGGCTTTATTTCACAGAGCACAGTGTCCTCTAGTGTCATCCAGGCTGGGGTGTGTGCAGGGTTTCCCTGTGATTTAAGGCTGAGCAGTAAGTCTCTATGGTGCACATGTAACACACTGATCCTCTCATCCACTGGGGACATTCACAGGCTCCCAAGCCTTGGCCACACTGAGTGGGGCTGCAGTGGTCATGGGAGCCCAGTCTCCCTTCCAGACCGATGTGTCTGCTGCACACACACTAGCAGCTGTGTGGCTGGTCCTGTGCGAGTCCTGTTCCACACCTGGGGAAACACCTGCTGGTTTCTAAGCGTCTGCACCAGTTGAGCAGGTGTCTGCTCAGAGGACTGCCTGAGGTTGTTTTTGTTCTCTTTCGTTGCAAATGTGCTTTGTGTTTTCATGACACTAGTCCTTTACCAAACATGCGATTTGAGTGTGTATCCCTGAGTCTGAGGCCTGTGTTTAAATCCCCTCCTCAGGGTCGTTATGTTATCAGTTATGATTGCAGGTCTCCTGGGCCCTGCTTCAGGTCGACCTGTTTCATGTGCTCATCCAGCAGGCAGCTGACCCCAGGGCACCAGTAACCAGTCGTCCAGGTGGCCCCACCAGCTGCAGATCACAGTGATGGACAAGCCCGAGGGTGAATGGAGCAGATGAAAGTCTTCTAACAGGCTGGGTGGGCTGGTCATCCCCATGCCCACAGTGACCACAACCTAGATATACAGGCGATATCTGTGAGCCCAACATGACAGAACAGGATTAAGAGGTGAATTCACCTTGGAAATACTCTTAAGGCCCTGGCCTGTTTGTCTCAGATGTTAGAGCGTCAGCCTGCGGTCCAGAGAGACCCAGGTTTGGTTCCTGCTAAGGCCATGTATCTCGGTTGCAGTTTGTCCCCGGCCCTGGTTGGTCGTGAGGGTGGCAGCCACTCTATGTGTCCCTTTCACGTCGATGTTTCTTTCTCTCTCTCTCTTTTCCTCTCTATTCCTCACACTGTATCTGAACAAAAAATGGAAAAAAATGTCCTCGGGTGAGGATAAAAAAAAAATACTCTTATGGAAACACAGAAATAGCTAATATCATAGCTATAGATGGAACTTAAGAAGCTGGAGAAAGTCAGGACTGTGTATTTGAAATGAAGAGAACTCTGAGTTCTCACATTTGAAAGGGTTGTTCTGGATTTTGGTAAATCCACTCAAACTACAACTGTCAGTTCAGTTACTGGTTCATTACAGACCAACCACAAAAGACAAATATCAGGTCAGCAGAGAGACCCCGTCTTGCTCTGTCTCACTCTGCACGGCCTCCTCACAGCTCTCGTCCTCACTGACCCCTCAGCTTCTGCAATTCATTTCCTCTATTACTGTCTCATGAATCTGCACTTTGTGTCTTCATCAAGTCCTTTCCACGGGTCCTCCACACCTGAGCCTTCCCAGGACAGGCCAGGACCTGCTCACTGCGGCCTCTGCAGGTCCCAGTGCTGGGAGGACAGGAACCCTCAGGGGCGGGCCCTCTCCAGTCTGCACGTCAATCATGTTTACTTTTGTGCTGTTTCTCAGAGCAGCTCACACACGAGGTTCAGTCAGTGGGGGCACTGCCCATGTGCTGGGTACAGGGGGGAGGGGAAATTGGGGTTCATTGCCATGAAAAATCATCAATGTGTGGGTTTGGGTGTGTTTGTGTTGCAAAGAACGTGTCATTGAAAAAATATTACACCTACTGCAGTTATTTATTTACACATTTCTTTCTGTATTCCTCATTGAGAATATGCTTATTGATCTTAGAGAACAGAGGGGAGACAGGGATAGAGAAACAGCAGTCTGTTGCCTCACACAGGGTCTCCGACCAGGGATCACAACGATACTGTAGGTATGTGCCCTGGGTAAGAATTGAACCCACAGCCTTTCATTGTACAGGATGACCACCCAGCCAACTGACCACCAGACCAGGGCTACACCTCTTTAACAGCTATATGTTCAGGTGTGTCTTTCTATTCTCTAACACTTTTTAAACTATCATTCTAGTACTTTCCTCAAAATTGTTAAAAATACCAAATTGACCGGAGATACTCCTACATGTGTCACCAATGAGTATGGAGCAGCTGATAGAAAATACCCTCATTGTCCGAGTCCTCGTGTCTCTCCTCAGAGAGGAGAAGCCTGACCTTAAAGGTGAGCTCTTCCCTCCCCTGGTCTTGGTGGGTGGAGAGGCAGCTGGTTCAGTCCCTAGGGTCCTGCAGCCTGCATGGCTCAGAGTCACCACTAGGGGTCACTGTCACCCCACAGTCCTGGTCCCAGCATCCCTGAGTGATGGTCATCTGAGCACCTGCCCTGGAGAACACCCCGCCCACCCAGGTGTCACCGTCTACACACACTGAGAGTCCATCCCCCAGGTCCCCACACTCGCCAGGGCCTCGCTCTCTCACTGTCCCATGTGAGTCCTGCACACACAGCTCCATGCAGGGCTCTCACTGGGACATTCACTTTCCCGACGTCAGCTCCAGTTCATCTCCTCATGTCTCCCTCTCACGACCTCTCTGCACCTTCGTCCTCCTGGTCACTTTCATCCTCGTGAAATAACCTCTGGGATCCTGTCTCTGTCATCTCTGCTCAGCATCTTCCTCACGTCCTTTGAGGTTCCTTCCTTGTCTGCCTGACGTCTACATGATGTAATTTTCAGGGGTGAGCCTACTTGTCTGTGATACGTACTGTAATAAAATTCACAATGTAAAGTTCAATCAAGTGAATTAATCTTTAAAATTAATCTGGGCTTCAAGCCATTGAAAGTTGGTCTCCTGGTCAGAGGACACAGCAAACAGATTTCAGTAATATTAAGGATCCCAGCCATCATTTCTCTATTGGGTTTTGTGCCCACTGTGTTCATATCAGGGTTTCTCCAACCATGGGCAATGGAGTTGTTAAATAAAGCATTTAAAAAGGACCCATTAAAAAAAAGAGTGCTGAATTGAACATTGTTAAAATTAAAAATATCTTCCACTAAATATTTCATTTAGGGAATGAAAAGACAAGCTACACAGAAATAATGTATTTTCAAATCACATGTCTGATGGGAGAACGTGTTTATTATTCATTAAGGATGTTGTATGTTCTGTGGGAGAGCCCAGCACCTCTGACCACTGGGACCATCCCCAGGGGCACAGTGAGGCTGGAAGTGACGGTTCCTCTCAGGGTTGAATTTCCCTTTCCTATGAGCATCTCTGTGCTGGGAACCTGCTTCAATTGTCTCCCTCTGACCCCAACATCAGTGAAAATATTTGACTGAAAACATCAGTCCATTAATCTGCTGCCTTTACAATTTCCACATATGAAATATTCTGAGTTGTACACATGAATAAGTAGTACTTTATTTTCAATAATTTCTCCATATAAAATATTAATATGTCTGATATAATTTGTGTGAGGTCTGTGCAATATTTCCTAGGCTTGGTGAAAGGAAGAGTTTGAGGAGGGACTCAAAGGCACAATTACCCAATTTTCAACATCAAGAATCACGAGTCTCCCATCCAAGTGATAACCAGGTCTGACACTACTTAGCTCTGAAAGTGTTTAGCAAAGATTGTAAGAAAAGTTTTTTAGCATTAAACTAAATAAAGGCATGTAGCACAGTGTTACTCAGAACTTGTAAGAAATATCATTTTAACAAAAAGTAAAAATTAAAATTAAAAAAGCATCAAGGGAGTCTCAATAAAATGTTCCTGGGATATAGTGCTTTGGATATAAGTAACAACATAAATTGAACTAACAAGATATTGACAATGAATGTCCTTTATATTTTGATTTTCAGATTGAAATAGACATTATTTGTGTTTCTTAAATTATGTTTAAACAATACACTTATTTAGAATAAACTTTGAAATTCTGTAAATATTAGAGAGCTGGGTTTAATAAACTACCTGGAACAAAGCAGTCCCTTTAAATCTAAGTGAAAGATGCATAAGAAACTAAAAATATAACCTACTCATCTAGTCCAACATTTATTACTGATGAGCACGTACAGTAACCCGACTCCAATAGGTCTCAAGTACCAGCTGACCCCCTATCCCTGACTTGCATGGTCAGTGAGTTCATGAGCAGAGATGCCCACAGAGGGGCCCAGAAGGACCAGGGCAGCCTGACCTCAGTCCCCCACTTATAAGGAACAGGCTGCCCCACATGCAAATTTCTCCCCAAGCTCCAGGGTAAATCCTCCCCTGGGCTGGGGAGGCTCACAGCTCTCTCCTCACACAGGGCTGAGGTCTCTGGGGAAGGCAGAGCCCTGGTCTAGAAGATGAGACTGCTGGGTCTTCTCCTGTGCCTGGTGACAGCCCCCCAAGGTGAGGGTCTCAGAGGTCAGACAGGGGTCTGTGGGGTGGTTGTGACTGCACGTGACTGACAGGGCCTGATGCTCCTTGTCCCCAGGTGTCCTGTCCCAGGTGCAGCTGCAGGAGTCGGGCCCAGGACTGGTGAAGCCCTCGCAGACCCTCTCCCTCACCTGCGCTGTCTCTGGGGGCTCAGTCACCAGTAGTTACTACTGGAACTGGATCCGCCAGAAACCAGGGAAGGGGCTGGAGTGGATGGGGTGCTGGACTGGGAGCACACGGTACAACCCAGCCTTCCAGGGCCGCATCTCCATCACTGCTGACACGTCCAAGAACCAGTTCTCCCTGCAGCTGAGCTCTGTGACCACCGAGGACACGGCCGTGTATTACTGTGCGAGAAACACAGTGAGGGGAAGTCAGTGTGAGCCCAGACACAAACCTCCAGAGGGAGACAAGAAGGAGGGGCTGCAGGGTGCACTCTGAACACCAGGGGGCGTGCAGGACTCACGGACTCTGTGTTGCAGCCCAAGAGCAGGTGCAGGTGGTGTTAATGGCTGTTTCCTCTGAGGCTCTGGGCTTTCTCTCCAGATAACAGTTTCTACAAGAGTCTCTCTAGACCTTTCTTTCTGAGGCTATGCTGCTGGTTCTGCATTTGGAGATTTATGATATTATTAGGAGCATTCTGACTTGCAGACATGTAGTGTATCACTTATGGAGGAAGAAAATGTACAGAGGGGTTGGTGAGCATCGGGAAACTGTCAGCACACAAGCAATGTCTGTCAAGAAAGGTGGACCTTGCTTAGCCCTCCCTGCATTTCAGGACACGCAACAGGTCAGTCAGGAATTTTCTGAGCCAAAACTGTCCATCAGACAACACGTGTGTCTTCAAGCAATGGCCCTGCCTTACTGTCACCACCTCATGAGCCATGGTCTAGGGGTCGTGCACAGCTGTGTCTGCAGCACAAACCGCGGGGGATTCCAGAGAGCAGCGCCTGGGACCTGTTCCTTGTGCCCCTGGAGCTGGAGGTCAGGGAGGGGCATTCTCAGTGCTAACACACTTTATGAATTCTACATAGGATAATATGGTTTTACATCATTTTTTTGTTGGCATATGAAATAAACATATGGTCTGAAAGAAACTGTAATTTATACACTGACCCCAAATGCATCATCACTGAATTCTGACCCACACAAGGGCACCCCTGTGAGTATTTCTATTCAACAGAACTGGAGTTTTTGTCAGAATAAGTAGGCAAGAAAAATTATAAAATGTGTAAATCAGAAAGAAGCAAGTTAAAGTGTCTCTTTATCTTTATCTATATACATAGGACACATCTTGTATATCAAAAACCCTAAACACTGCACCAGAAAACTGATAGGACTAGAGAGTGGATTCAGGAGAGATGTCAGGTACAAAACCAGCTCACAAAGGACTCGTGCTCCTGCCCCTCTCAGCACAGTGTCTTCAGGACCCTGGGAAACAGCTGTGGCTATTTCAGAGGAAAGTGAGGACAGAAAACGTGAACTCGGTGAACAACCAGGCAAGTCAGAACCTGATGAAACAAGCACCCTGGACGTGTGGGCTCCGTGTTGGTTCGTCCCCCCTTCCTGCACCCAGGCAGCATTTCCCCAGTGAGGCCCAGAGTCAGGTCCGGTTCCAGTTGACTCCCATCATGCCCCTGGCACTGAGGAGGGCTCTGTTCTCAGGTTCTCCTCTAGGTGGCAGCCCTGAGGCACAGGTGACCTTGCAGAGACTCAGCTGAGTACCAGTGAGAAGCAAGATCTGGGGGAGCCACCGTTTCAAAATGCCAGGAAGGACTCCCTTGTGGGTGACTCCCCTGCCTTGTCTCAGGAAGCTGGTTCAGACTCAGCATCGTCAACCTTTGAGGCTCAAAGCAACCACCAGGGGGCACTGCCACCTCCACAATCCTGTCCCAGGATGTGTCCTGAGTGAGTTTACCAGTAACCTGCCTGGAGAACCTTAAATATCTCACTTTTATCCTGGTGGAAAGTTCTCTGACAGTCGCTATATTTTAAAGAAAGATTTTGTTCAAGGCTCTTGCAGTGGGGGCATCACCACAGAAGAGGGACACAGGGATCCCTTGTGGTGCAGCAGAGACCCTGGGGTTCACAGCCAAGGAGCAGAGGGCGGGGTCCGTGGACGAAAAGAATGAGGAGGGGACGTCCTGTGAACAGCAGGGTCCATAGAGCTCCTGCGGGAAGGGACCCGACACCCAGGCTGGATGAGGGGAGGCGATGAGGAGTCTCTGGTCCTCTGTGGGCTTTGAAGGAAAACGTGCTCTCAGGACCCTGGGGAGTCAGGACACACTGAGCTCACCCGTCCCCCAGAAGGAGGTGGGTTCCAGGCACGTCTGCTGTCCAGGCTTTACCTCCATGCTCTGCAAACACGTTTATTACAGGAAGATAGGACATTCCGTTATCTAAACGCTATGAAAACCCAGAGATATCCTCTTTTTTTTTTTATGAATTTTTATTTATTTTTTTGTTACAGATATTTTACCTTTTTACCTCATTGGCACCTCCCCACCGCACCCCCCTCCACCCTGTACCCGGCTTAGTTGTCCATGTCCATTGGTCATGCATACATGCATATAAGTTCTGTGGTTTATCTCTTCCCACCCGCCCACCCCCCATCCCCTCTTCTGAGGGATGCCAGTCTGTGCCCTACTTCCATGTGTCTGGGTCTACTGTATTCCTCAGACTGTTATGTTCATTATATTCCGTATATAAGTGAGATCATGTGGTATTTGTCTTTTTCTGCTTGGCTTCTTTCACTTAGGATAATACTTTCCAGGTCTCTCCATGTCGTCTCAAAGGATAAGAGGTCTTTCTTTCTTACCGCTGCATAGTACTCCATTGTGTATATGTACCACAGCATTTTTATCCATTCGTCTACTGGTGGACACTTGGGCTGTCTCCAGATCCCAGCTATTGTAAATAGTGCTGCTATGAACATGGGGGTACATATATACTTCCTGATTGGTGTTTCAGGCTTCTTAGGGTATATTCCCAGCAGTGGGATCACTGGATCAAATGGAAGTTCAATTTTTAATTTTTTGAGGTAGCACCATATTGTTTTCCATAGTGGCTGCACCAGTCTGCATTCCCACCAGCAGTGTATTAGAGTCCTCTTTTCTCCACACCCTCGCCAACACTTGTTGTTTGATGATTTGTTGATGGCGGCCATTCTGACAGGTGTGAGGTGATACCTCATTGTTGTTTTAATTTGCATCTCTCTGATGATTAGTGATGTTGAGCATTTCTTCATATGTCTCTTGGCCATTTGTATGTCCTGTTTGGAGAGGTGTCTATTCATCTCCTCTGCCCATTTTTTAATTGGGTTCTTTGTCTTCCTTTTGTGGAGTTGTATGAGCACTCTATATATATTGGAAATTAACCCCTTATCTGGTACATCATTGGCAATGATGTTCTCCCATACAGTGGGTTGCCTTTCCATTTTGATGACTGTTTCTTTTGCTGTGCAGAAGCTTTTTAGTTTGATGTAGTCCCATGTGTTCATTTTCTCCTTTATTTCTGTTGCCTTAGGTGATGTATCAGTGAAAATTCTGCTCCGTATGATGTCCGAAATTTTGTTGCCTACATTTTCTTCTAGAATTTTTATGGATTCACGGGTCACATTTAAGTCTTTTATCCATTTTGCGTTTATTTTTGTGAATGGTGTAAGTTGATGGTCTAGTTTCATTTTTTTGCATGTAGCTGTCCAATTTTCCCAACACCATTTATTAAAGAGGCTTTCTTTACTCCACTGTATGCTCTTTCCACCTTTGTCAAATATTAATTGAGCGTATTCCTTGGGTCCATTTCTGTGTTTTCAGTTCTGTTCCACTGGTCTATATGCCTGTTCTTGTGCCAGTACCAGGCTGTTTTGGTTACAGTCGCTTTGTAGTATAACCTGATATCTGGTATTGTGATCCCACCTACTTTGTTCTTCTTTTTCAAGATTGCTGTGGCTATTCGGGGTCTTTTTTGGTTCCATATGAACTTTTGAAGTATTTGTTCTAGTTCTATGAAATATGTCGTTGGTATTTTGATGGGGATTGCATTGAATCTATAGATTGCTTTGGGTAGTATGGACATTTTAATTATGTTAATTCTTCCAATCCATGAACAGGGTATGTGCTTCCTCTTTTTTAGAGATATCCTCTTTTAACAATAAACTGTCATAACTCTAATAACACACATTAGAAGGACCAAGCTGTGTGATCAATTCAACTCACCACCCTGGCATTCACTGTGAATTTTTTTTTTAATCCTCACCCGAGGATATTTTTCCTTTTTTTTTTTCTTCTTTTGTTCAGATAGAGTAGGAGTGAGAGAGATAGAAACATCGACGTGAAAGGGACACATCGAGTTGTTGCCACTCGCACAACCCAACCAGGGCAAGGGACAAACTGCAACTGAGGTACGTGCCCTTAGCGGGAGCCGAACCCAGGTCTCTCTGGACCGCAGGCCGATGCTCTAACTGCTGAACCAGACTGGCCAGGGCTTCACTGTGAATTTAGAGGGCAAATGCCTGTTTCATAGATGAGGGATTAACCTTAAGTCTGAGCATTCTCACTGATCACAGGGATTCTGATTGTTTTCCACTTGCCTGATGAAGGCCAGGAGATCAAAGGCCACGGCCCCTCAGGGCTCTGGGTCTGGGTCTTCCCAACAAACAGCCACACACAGAGCACTTATTCCCAGTGTTGGACAGTCTTAGAGACCCAGGGTGCACATGGAGGGGACAAGGACAGAGGCTAAGTGTGACCACAGGGCATCTGCAGCAGGGACAGTTACACCTGACTTGCTGACACTCAGATGGGGAGGACCAGCCACATCAGGGCTGAATGTGTTTGCAGGCCCTTGAGACAGAGTGGACAGAACAGGGACCGTGAGGATCCAGGACAGTGCTCCTGGGCCCAGCACAGACTTCAGTTGTATGTGACAGTTCTGGGTGAACCTGCCTCACCTCAGCTGTTTGAGATCCACCTCACAGATGATGCACAACCCTCTCCACTGTCATGAGGACCCTGAGGCCACAGATGGATACAGCCCTGATGTGTGAGTAACCCTAGAATACAGAGTCCATTCATGTTCACATTACATACAAGGGGTCTGCACCCTCACTGGGCAGGTCCCTCTCTGTCCTGGTGTTGGTTCAGGGGAGCCATGGGGCCCAGTGGGGAGGAGCACAGGCCAGATGCTGGGCTCACTGTTACCAGATGTGACACTTGGACATGCCCCAAATGTCCTTATGATTGCAATTTAGTTATTGAAATGTTATCATGACCACGATTCTCCCCCAGGACACTCGCACCTGCTCTGAGGCACTGCCCTCTCTGCAGGTCTCCAACCCCAGAGCTCCCTATATAGTAGGAGGACATGCAAATAGGGCCCCCTCTGCCCATTAAAACAGGCCCAGCCCTCACCCTGCAGCTCTGGAACAGGAGCTCAGACCCAGGATCTCCAGGTGACCCCATTCCCTGACCAGGACTGAACACAGACCACTCACCATGGAGTTTGGGCTCAGCTGGGTTTTCCTTGTGGCTATTTTAAGAGGTAATTTGTGGAGAACAAGAGACACTGAGTGTGAGAGTGGATGAGAGAGAGAAACAGTGGACGTGTGACAGTTTCCTGACCAGGACGTCTTTGTGTTTGCAGGTGTCCAGTGTGAGGTGCAGCTGGTGGAGTCTGGGGGAGGCGTGGTGCAGCCTGGGGGGTCTCTGAGACTCTCCTGTGCAGCCTCTGGATTCACCTTTAGTAACTACTGGATGCACTGGGTCTGCCAGGCTCCAGGGAAGGGGCTGCAGTGGGTGGGTCAAATTAGTACTGATGGAGGGAGCACATACTATGCGGACGCTGTGAAGGGCCGATTCACCATCTCCAGAGACAACTCCAAGAACACGCTGTATCTGCAAATGAACAGCCTGAGAGCCGAGGACACGGCCGTGTATTACTGTGCGAGAGACACAGTGAGGGGAAGTCAGTGTGAGCCCAGACACAAACCTCCCTGCAGGAGAGTCTGTGACCACCTGGGGGCGCCCAGGGTCCTTGAACACAGAGACCATCCCAGGAGCAGGTGCAGTTGGAGGGTTGGGGTGCTTTCCTGTGTGGTTTCCTCTTCATGTCACAGTGGGCACCAGAGGAGTGACCCCAAAGCTAGAGATAAAAGCCACCCTGTTGGTGACTGTCATTGACTTGGCATCATGCTCACAGCACCCAGAGAAGTTGACACCAGGCAGAGGCAGAGGGACCATGACAGCTTGTGCAGATGTCCAGGCTGAGGACAAGCACACTCCCCAAGTGGTCATGTATCATTTATCACGTACACAGTTGGAATCTCTGGGAAGCGCCGGAAAGGCCCTTCAGCAAGTCAGAATAGCTTTGATAGACCAGGAAAGGAGACTGGCCCGGGGCTTGTATTTAGGTGAGGTGGTGGGGAGGGCGAGGAATTCTTCCAGAAGTCTGTGTTGTTGAATCTCCCAATGACATCTAAAGAGGAGACCCAACCTTTCTATCACGTCTCAAGAGGGGCTTGTGGAGAAGAGGGAGGAATGAGCCTTCGTTTATCAGCACAAAAAATAAACATAAATAAAGCCTGACTACCAATTTTACTTATCAAATACAGTACATGGACAAAAGATGCGATCAAGTTTCAAAATCTGTAGAAAACGATCATGTCTAAAGAAAATGAAAACCGGTCCCACAGATGAAATGCCAGTGATCTTTCAATCACGCGCTGAATAAGTAACCGATGCTTTCCATTTAACTTTAGGAAGGGAGGAGAGAGGAAACAGAGAGTGTTCGGATAGGCTACACCACCTCAAAAGTACTGTGACGTGGGAGAAAAAATGGCGGCGGAGTGAACAGAAGCTACACAGACCGTCTCCCAGAACCAAACTGGAATTACAACTATAACACAGACAAATTGACGGGAAAAAACAACAGAAAAGCAGCTTGGAGGACCATATAACGAGGGACCCTGACTCCATCCCGGTAGACTTGTGAAGGCGCAAGACGGGGGCTGGGAGCCCACGGTCCGCAGGTCGGCAGCTCGGCAGCGGCCTTAGCTGGGAGCAGCACCCTCGGGTTACACTCCCAGGCGGCTCCACAGCTCAGAGCCGGGACAGAGGCTGAAACAGCCACAGGCACTCCCCTTGGGCTCCGGCAGAGGGAGGGCAGACTGGACTGGAGCTGTATCGGGACACTCGGGATCTGGAGGGCACTCAGAGCTTTGGCTGAGTGCAGCCACTCAGGACGGTGGCCACATTGCTCCTTCCCAGGGCTCTGAGGAGAGGCAGCAGCCCCTCCCTAAGAGATCCAACCCCACCCTGTGGGCCATTGAAGTGTTAATTGAGGCTCACTAACAGCCAGCATCTGCCCCACCCTCGGGAAATCCCCTTGTGCTAAGCACCTGAGGGAGCTTTTCAATCAACTGACAACCCAAAACTCATCAAGTAACCTAGACTGCTAGCCTCCAGGCAAAAATCTAGAGGATAACAGTACCTTTCCTGGGCTGGCAACTTTAACCAGGAAAGTAAGACTTGACAGTGGTGTTCAACGTGAGTCCTCCCTCGCTCATCTAAACACAGGAGAGGGAGCCACAAACAGCAGAACACCAACACCCACAGGGAAAACTTGACAGGCTCCAAAGCCCACAGTGATAGCCAAAATGGTGAAACACAGAAACAGAAGCCAAATGAAAGAGCAAGAGACCTCCACCGAAGATGAGATCAATGTGGAGCAATTAGGCATGTTAACAGAGCTAGAATTCAGAGCCATGATCTTGAGGAAGCTGAACAGCATGAGTAAGGACATAGAGACACTGAAAATAAGCCAATTGGAAATTAAAAACCAAAAAGAAGAGATAAAAAATGATATATCAGAAATGAAAAACACATTGGAAGGTTTAAAAAGCAGAGTAGAGGAACCTGAGGACCGGATCAGTGAATTAGAAGACAGGGTAGAAAAAATCAACCAATCAGAAAAACAAAAGGAAAAAACTATTAAAAAACAGGAAGACAGTTTAAGATAACTATGGGACAGCTGGAAACGTAATAATATTCGCATCATAGGAGTCCCCGAAGAAGAAAATGAGCAAGGGATAGAGAATATATTCAAAAAAATAGTGAGAGAAAACTTCCCTAATTTGGTGAAGGAAGAAGGCATTCAAGTTCAAGAAGCACAGAGAGTCCCAAGTAAGAAGAACCCAAACAGGCCCACACCAAGACACATAGTAATTAAAATACCACAAATTAAAGACAAAGAGAGAATCCTAAAAGCAGCAAGAGATAAGCAACAGGTTACCTACAAAGGGAACCCCATAAGGCTCTCAGCTGACTTCTCAAAAGAAACACTACAGGCCAGAAGAGAATGGCATGAAGTAATCAAAGTCATGAAAAACAAGAATCTGAATCCAAGACTACTCTACCCAGCAAGGCTATCATTCAAAATAGAAGATCAAATAAAGAGCTTCCCAGACAAAAAAAAGGCTAAGGGAATACATTAGCACCAAACCAGCACTGCAAGAAATGTTAAAAGAACTGCTGTAATTAGCAGTAGAAATGGGAAGAAAAATAGAACCACACTAAACAAAAATGGCAATAAATAAGTACATATCAATAATCACCTTAAATGTAAATGGATTGAATGCTCCCATAAAAAGACACAGAGTACCTGATTGGATAAGAAAGCATGACTCATCTATATGTTGTTTACAAGAGTCCCACCTCTCAACAAAAGACTCACATAGGATGAAAGTGAAGGGATGGAAAAAAATTTTCCAAGCAAATGGAAAGCAAAAAAAAGCTGGGGTAGCAATTCTCATATCTGATAAAATAGATTTCAAAATGAAGACCATAACTAGAGACAAAGACGGCCACTACATAATATTGAAAGGATCTATCCAACAGGAAGATATAACCTTGATAAACATATATGCACCCAATATAGGAGCACCAAAATATATTAAAAATCTTCTGGAGGACTTCCAAGGAGAAATCGACAACAATACAATCATAGCAGGGGACTTCAACACCCCACTGGCACCACTGGATAGATCCTCTAGGCAAAAAATTAGCAAGGAAACAGACTCTAAATGAAGCACTAGACCAAATGGATTTAATAGATATCTACAGAGAATTACATCCCAAAACTACAGAATACACATTCTTCTCAAGTGCACATGGGACATTCTCAAAGATAGACCACATGATAGGACACAAACTAAATCTCTACAAGTTCAAGAAGATTGAAATCATATCAAGCATCTTCTCAGATCACAATGGCATGAAACAAGAAATCAATTGCAACAAGAACATGCAAAGACATTTCAACACATGGAGGCTAAATAGCATGTTATTAAACAATGAATGGGTCACCGAGGAGATCAAGGAAGAAATTAAAAACTTCCTGGAAACCAATGAAAAAGAACACACAACAACACAAAATCTATGGGATGCAGTGAAAGCAGTTCTGAGAGGGAAGTTCATAGCACTACAGGCCTACCTCAAAAAACAAGAAAAATTCCTAATTGACTGTCTAACCTCACAACTTAAAGAATTAGAAAGCAAACAAAAAGAAAACCCCAGAGCAAGAAGAAGGAAGGAAATAGTAAAGATCAGAGCAGAAATAAATGACATAGAGACCAAAAAAGCAATTCAAAGGATCAATGAAACAAAGAGCTGGTTTTTCGAAAAGATAAACAAGATTGATGGACCGTTAGCTAGACTCACCAAGAAACAAAGAGAGAGAACCCAAATACACAAAATCAGAAATGAAAGAGAAGTAACAACCAACACCACGGAAATACAAAAGATCTTTAACAACTACTATGAACAACTATATGGCAACAAATTCAACAATCTAAGCGAAATGGACAAATTTCTAGAAACACACAGTCTCCCAAAACTATTCCCGGAAGAGATAGAAAACTTGAACAGACCAATAACAACTAAGGAAATTGAAGAGGTAATCAAGACTCTCCCAGCAAACAAAAGCCCAGGCCCAGATGGCTTCACGGGGGAGTTTTACCGAACATTCAAAAAAGAACTAACACCCATTCTCCTCAAACTATTTCAAAAAAATTCAAGAAGAAGGAAGACTTCCAAACATGTTCTATGAGGCCAGCATAATTCTAATTCCAAAACCAGAAAAAGACACTACAAAGAAAGAAAACTACAGGCCAATATCCCTGATGAACATAGACGCCAAAATCCTGAACAAAATATTAGCAAATCGGATCCAGAAATACATCAAAAAAATTATCCACCATGACCAAGTGGGATTCATTCCAGGGATGCAAGGCTGGTACAATATTCGCAAATCAATAAACGTGATACACCACATAAACAAAATGAAGAATAAAAACCACATGATCATATCAATAGATGCTGAATAAGCATTCGACAAAATCCAGCATCCATTTCTGATAAAAACGCTCAGCAATGTAGGAATAGAGGGATCATATTTCGACATAATAAAGGCCATATATGAAAGACCTACAGCCAACATCATACTCAATGGATAGAAACTAAAAACATTTCCATTAAGAACAGGAACAAGACAGGGATGTCCACTTTCACCACTCTTATTTAACATTGTACTGGAAGTCTTAGCCACAGCAATCAGACATGAAGAAAAAATAAAAGGGATCCAAATTGGAAAGGAGGAAGTGAAACTGTCATTATTTGCAGATGACATGATATTATTCATAGAAAACCCTAAAGACTCCATCAAAAATCTACTAGACTTAATAAATGAATTTGGCAAAGTAGCAGGATACAAAATTAACGTCAAGAAATCGACGGCATTCTTGTACACCAATGATGAACTCACAGAAAGAGAAACTGAAAAAACAATCCCATTTACCATCGCTCCAAAAAAATTACGATACCTAGGAATAAACTTAACCAAAGAAGTAAAGGACCTATTTGCAGAAAACTACAGGTCATTGAAAAAAGAAATAGAGGAAGATATAAAAAAGTGGACACACATACCCTGTTCATGGATTGGAAGAATTAACATAATTAAAATGTCCATACTACCCAAAGCAATCTATAGATTCAATGCAATCCCCATCAAAATACCAACGACATATTTCATAGAACTAGAACAAATACTTCAAAAGTTCATATGGAACCAAAAAAGACCCCGAATAGCCACAGCAATCTTGAAAAAAAAAGAACAAAGTAGGTGGGATCACAATACCAGATATCAGGTTATACTACAAAG